CAAAAAGATATACAGGATCAGACTCTATCAAAAGTTGATAGGGGCCAGGGAGATGGCTCAGTAGGTTAAGTGCTTCCCTGGCAAGCACAAGGTTCTGAGTTCAATCAAAAAAAAAAAAAAAAAAAAAAAAAAGTTGGTAAATTTTTGTATGCAAAAGACTGGGTCTTAGTCTCATCTAACAATACCAACTTGTTCAGCTCTTGGTATTTTTCTAAGTCCTAATTTGAAGTTCTGTGAAAGCAGTTTACTTTGGCCCAAGCTTTGCCCACACCATGATGTCCTTTGGCCTACAGTTCCAAGGAACTAAAGTCCTGGGCCTGAGGTACTATTGAGGAGGGAACATTCTCAGATATCCATTGTAGGTAGATGATGAAGAGAGGTGGAGATACTGCCTAGAGGTGGGAATTCCAAGTCCCAAACTCCATTTTGGCCATCTGTGTATACCTGCCTTGTTCTGTAACTGTATGCAGAAATGGGCACATGCAGCACACTGAGAATCATGGGACTACCTCGGCTGAGGTCTGCATCTTGGAGAGACTATGGTGAAAATGGCCAGGACTTCCTGGTCCATGGACATCTTTCTGTTCTTAGCCAAGGTCCTAACACAAGAGTTAAGAACAGTACCCCCCCCCAAAAAAAAAGAACAGTACCCCAGAATACTGAGGACATAATTTTTTTTTTTTTTTCTCTTGGGCTACCACCCTTTTCCCTTCCTGAGTTCATAGGAGCAGCCTCAGTTGAAGGTGACAGTGACAGGAGGAGAATGGGTGGCAACGCTGCTTTTTCTTCCTCCTTGCAAAAATCAAGACGGGAGGGGGGTACTGCCCCTTAGCTCAGTTCTTTAAGTGGCTGCTTCAACAAAGCAGTCAGGCTCAGGTTGCTGTGGTTCGATCCCCACAACTCAAGCCAGCCAAACCTGCCCTGAAGGCATTCGGAGAAAAAAAAACAAAACAAAAAACACAAGACAGGTGGGCATACTGTCATTCTCCACCCACAGACTCCCCTCCATCAGGAATGAGTCATGTTGCCTGTTCAGGAGTGGCTTCATTGAAACACAGTATGTTAGAACTCCAAGAATTAATATAAAAAGAATAAACCAAGAGAGCAATCCCTCTTGAAACTTTTCTTTTTAAGTTAGTGACATGAAAACACTTCCTTCACAAGATGTCTACATTGACATACTCAGATTTTTCCAGTGTTGAGCTTTCTAGTTTTTACATACTTTGGATGCATAAGTTCATACACACATAAATGCATACATACATACATACATACATACATATATTTGTATTTGATTAGTAAAAATACAGTTTAAAATATCCAAGGAGAAACACTGTAGCCAGTTCTTCCAGATCCTTTTTGTAAACTTTTGGAGGCACCTCCTCAAAGGGCCATCTTTGGAAACCTGCAAGAGGTAGCCTATTGCCAGTTTTCTGTGGCCAGTCAGAACCCCAGCAAGAGGTCAAGTCAGCAACTACTATTTGTTCCAGGTCAAAGCCAATAGTCACACACAGTCCCTCACTTTAGACACCAACCTGCCTAAGAAAGAAAATCCTGAGGTTTCTAGGCTGGTTAAGAGAGCCAAAGGCTCATTGGTTAGCTGAAGAGTAACCCAAGTGACATGATTAGTTTCTTGATGTTTTGTCATTTAGCTGTTTTATCTTGCCTTGTTTTTTTTAAAAAAATAATATATTAATTTAGCTTTATGCTTCAGATTCACCTTTAACTAATCAGCAAAACAATTATCATAGAAAGCTTGCAAAACAGAAGTGGGGCTCGCTGCTGACATTTCTTGTGTCAGGGCACTCGCTGCAGCTCTGGCATGCACGGCGCCTAGGCAGCCACAAGTCTGTGTGCACAGCTGTGAACATCGCCACAGCTCTGCCGAGCCCTCCGTGTTTCCACTCTGCTCATCTGCTTTCCCGTGGGCAAGAGCCCTCCCACTCTTAGGTCAGCAGACAATACTAGCGAAATCTGCAAAGGACCAACTAGGTTGGGTGTGGTCACTAGCAAAGGGAAGCGTACCCGGCTGCAGGCTGCAGCTGAGGTTCTAAAAACAAGAGCGGCAACCTCAGCAGGGAACCCCACGAACGACTGCTTTTCCCCAGTTTTACCCCAAGCCCTATCAGCCTGGACTGCTACCCCAAGGGAGCACAGCAGACCCTCTAGACTTGGGCCATCTCCAGAGACAAAGCCGGCTGCTCTGGAGCCTGCTTTGTAGCGAGGAGACACCCAGCCTCTGGGACCTCGCGCGGCTCGGAGCCCCTAAGCACCACGCGTCTCAGCTGCTGGCCAACAGCCAGGAGGCACCAAAAGCTGAGGACTAGGGACCCATGCCCCGGCTCCACAGCTTGGGGGTAAGGCGAGACTCCCACTTGGGATTTGGAGGGGCCAGGTGCCCCAAGAAAACACCAGAGAAAGCAGTGCCCTGAGGTTTCGCCACATGCATTTTCTGCAACAGAACACTGCACTCTTGAATTTTGGGGGGCCCTGCTTCGACGTCCAGTGGACATCAGGGCCCGCTATTGTTCTCCGGGTCTCGGGGGCGGGAGACGCCCCCCCCCCCATTCTGCCTCCTTGGTAGCATCTGCCGCTGGGCAAAGCCTTTCAGCTCCGCGAGAACAGGGCGTGCCGGGGGGCGCTGCGGATCCTCACAAAATTCTCCACGAGTCTCTGTGGGCTTGATCCAAGCTGGGAAACAAAGCTCCTCTCGGGGCGGCCTCACCCCGTCCGGGATCCGCCATCCTGGGCCCCTAGCCGGGTCCTACGACCGCGCCCTGCCAGCCGCGCCGAGCGTCCTCAGGCCCGAGACCAGCTTGGTGGCCCGCCCTCCCCAGCGGGGAGCACCAGTCCCCCTGCAGACCCTACCTCGCGCAGCGCCGGTCTCCTCCCCCTCGGGTCTGCCCTCCTCAAACCCAGACGGCCTCCACCCGCGCGCTACCCTCAGTCACCCTCAGTCGCCATCCTCCATCAACCCAGCCTCGCCCGCGCCACCTGCACCGCGCTCCTCGCCTCTCTCCCCTCGCAGGCCCGCCCCCCTCTCTTTCCCTCACTAACCCCCTCCCTGCCGCCCCCACCCCGGACCCAGTCACTCACCTGTCCCCACCCAGCTCCCCAGCCTTGCCCATATTTGCTCAATCCTAGGACCTCCGCCTGCGCCGCTCCCCTTCCCGGCTTCCTTGGGCCCAGACTCCGGTCCCTTCCCCGGGCCCAGGGCGTCGACGGTCTCGCAAGCTCAGATAGATGCTGCAGGGCGGCCCTGGCGCGGGGACCGGGTCGGCGCCCGCAGATAGGGCAGGGCAGCAGCGGGCTGCCTTTGTGGCTCCAGCAGGTGCCTTGCAGGCAGTTTAGAGCGTCATACGCAGACGCCCACTCAGCAGACCACCATCCGGGCAGGTCAATGCTGGGCAGATCCCAACCCGGGGCGACACAGAGAATGCGTAATGGATTGGGGGGGGGGCGCAGACCTGGAACAAGGCAGGACAGGCCCAGCCTTCTAGCCATTCACTGCACGTCGAAGATCGAGCGAAGGGCGTCCAGTGAACGCCTGAGTGAGTCCCTGCAAGCCTGCTGCCTGCTCACGAGGGTAATCTGCGAATCTCACGAGCACACACTGAACGCCTAGGCACAGCACGGGGCTCTGAGGGCGCACAGAGAGGACCTGACCTGCGCCCCAGTGTAGCACAGCTGCTGCCCCCTGTCCCAACCACACCTCCCGCCGCGTCCCTTGAAGCCCGGCCCATAGGTGCACCCCTGTCCCCTCCCTTTTGTGCGCCCCCTCAGGGAGACGGAGGTCGGTGGATTTTCCAGCACCCAGAACATAAAGCCCACAGTCCCCCGCCATCACCCACTCGTCCGGAATGCTGCGGCTGCGAGGGTCCGTCGGCGGCTCTCTCCCAGATCTCGCCGCGGCGCGGGAGCTTAGGGTGCTCAGGGCGGCGGCGGCTGCTCGCGCGCTCGCTCCGGGCTGCCTTCGCGCGCTTGCCGCGGGAGTCGGAGGGGGCGCGCGGGGGAGGGGACTCGGTGGGGGCTGGGCGTAGCCTCAGCCAATCACTGGCCGGATGGCTCCTCCCCACGCTCCCCACCTCTGGCCCGCAGGTTAAGGGAAGGCGGGGACAGGCTGCGCTCCGCATTCTCCGCTAGGCGAACTGAGGCCGCCTGACGACTACAACTCCCGACAGGCGCCGCTGCACCGCAGGGTCCGAGCGGGGGCAGAGGGCGCGGCCCGGGAGCCCGCAGACTCTTATCCTTCCCAGATCCACGTTCCTGGGGGTTTCCATGGTGACTCGCGACATTAACAAAGCCCGGGCCCTGGGCCCCGCTGCCGCTCGGGTCTCCTGGGAGTGCTGTGGGGCGGGTCCCGGGGACAAACGTCGTCCCACCCCAGGCAGAACCCCACCCGGGAGCGGAGACAATGCCGAGCTGCCTTCGCCTTGGGGCCAGCTGAGGCCGCTGGGTCGGCGCCCAGGCCCGCTGCGACGCCGGCGCGCTGGGGATCCAGCGGGCTTGGGCGGCATTTGCGGGGAAACTGTTCTCCCGGGCGGACGGCCCCTCTGGCCTCCTCATTTCGCGTCTGCCCCCTCGGAGCTCTCGACTCTCCGGGTCATTCTTTGGATGGCGACGATTTTCCCGGCGTTGCAACGCGACCTCTCAGGCCCAAGCTGCTTATCCTATTTCTGGAGTCTCCATTCAAAGGATGGTGAAACCTCTAGAAATGTTTTGTAGCCCAATCTAAATTCGCTTCAGCATTTTTCTTCGCTTTTTAAATACGAACGTAATTTAACAAAATACAAGTCTGTAAAAGGAGAGGGACGGCGCTGCCGCTCTGCGCGCCTGGCGCCTTGGACCCGCCTTGGTTGCTGAAGTTGGAGAACGCTAGTTAGTCGCGGATCAATGATTTCCCTGTTTGCGCTGAACGTTGCCCAAAGGGCGTCGCGAAGCGTTGAAATGCAGCCTCTCAACCTTCAACCCTGTGCCAGGTCCCTATTTTTTTTTTTAACAGTTGAGCAAATCTAAAGTAATAAGCAGCTTGCCCAAAAATCACACTGCTTTGAAACATATTTCAGATCCAAAACTGAGCATTTGTGCTCCCCAACTCCCTTCCTTCCACTCTCCCTCTAGAGGCATTGACTCCAGTACAGAGATGACGCTAAAGATGCTGAAAAAGCCCCTGCAGACTCGGGCTCCCCCGGGTGGAGATGAGGCTTTCTCCCGCCCTAGTCATAACCTGAAGTGTGTTCTCTCTGTGGGATATTTTCAGAGAAAATCGCCCTGCAGTCCTGGGAGTTGTGGCGGTGCTGGTGTTGGTGGTAGTGAAGCCAGGCTAGCATTTGTGGGACACACTTCTGGGTTACCCTGTTGAGCCTTCCCCCCACCATTTTTTTTTTCCCGGAACCGGGTTTGAGCCTCCACTTTTGAAAGAAGGATGGATCTCCCCATGCTCCCTTCGTCCTCGGTTTAGTGAGTTTATTAGGGTGGTCTCCAAATGAGCATAGAGGTCTACCTATGGCACCCCCAAACCAGAAAAACCTGGGATATAGCTGTGAAAACGGTTCCAAATTGGGGCACTGCTTATGGACTCTCCGGCCAGGCTTTGCCAGAACAGGGATTTAAGCAAATTATATCCGGCCTTGGGACGGTGGAGTGCAACCCAGAGACTGCGCTGGGCGTCGTGTCCGCCGGCTTCCACATGCTCCCGGCTGCACTTTTTGCCTTAGGTGGAGAGAGCCCCCTAGAGGCAGTAAGTGTCTTCTGCAGCGTTTAGCGGACTTTAAATTTGTTTAGATGTGTGTGCTCAAGACAGAAGAAAGGGCTTCTGAGAAGTTGTGGGGCAGTGTGGAACAGTGAGGAAAGTCCTACCTAAATTTGTCTGCAAATGTCCTCAGTAGTGGATCTTTGCTTGGTCAGCTGTTTTTAAACCTGTTTACTCTTGAGAAGTAGAAAGAGCAAAAAGTTCGAAGTCACATCCCTGGATTGGAATCCTGATTTCAAGTAACCTTTGAGCTACTTGAAAAAGTGACCTGGAGGCCAGCCAAATAGCTCAGCGGATTAAAGCACCTGCTTAGGCAGACACAGGAGAGGGGGTAGGGCTTCGATCCCGATTGAGACTGGGTGTGGTGGCACGTGCCTGTAATCCCAGCCCTTGGGAGACTGTAAACAGGAGGATCACTACAAGTCCGATCTATGTGGTGAGACCCTGTAGACCCTGTACTAAATACATAAAAAAGTGACCCGTTCCACCTTAGTCTTAGCCCCACCTCCATCCCAAGAACAGGAGAATCATAATATATTCTTTTAGCCTAGGTGTGACCATTTCGTAGAGAAATGTGTATAAAGGGCATAGCCCACTGCCTGGCATATAAAATATGCATTCAAATGTATTCATTTAACGAAAATGGTTATTGAATTGTATGACAGAGTTAAGAATATGTGACACTGGGGCCAGGGAGATGGTTCAGTGGAATAAGCACTTCCCTGGCATGCGCAAGGGCCTGAGTTCAATCCATGGTTGTGGAAAAAAAAAAAAAAAAACCTGACAGTTAGAAAAACAGTAGCAGTTTCTGTTTGGGCTGGTGAGATGGCTCAGTGGTCTAGAGCACCTACTTAGAACAAGCTTAGCAAAGCACAGGGACCACGTTTCAATCCCCCAGCACCACATGCCAGCCCGCCCCGCCCCCAGGTGGGCTGAGCTGGCCACACACACACACACACACACACACATAAATAAAATAAATAAATTTTAAAAAAAGAATATGTGACACTCCCTACAATAATACCCACAAAACTCAGCATGTTGTGATTTTTATCATAGAGTTCATATGACCAGACAGATCAAGTGGGGTAGAGATTCAGATCAGAGAAATCAGTCCGGGACAGATGATCAGGAAGTGGAGGGACCTGGATGTGGATTTCATCCGGGTATTGATTTGATGGGTAGCCATAAGCAGAGGTCTGAGATTTGAAGATGACAGGAGAAAAGCTTGTGGTCAGGCAGCCTAGAAATGTTTGGGAGACAGTGGAGGAATTCACAGTGGCCTGGAAATTAAGTCAAGTCCATAAATGGAGGCAATAGGAAAGAGAGGGAATAGCAAGGTAGGCAGGTGCTGTGGGGGGACTTCATGAAGCCCTGGACTATCCTCAAAAGTGTGACCCTCCTGCCTCAGCCTTCCAGAATGCTGGGATTACAGGTGTGTGCTACCATCAGTGGCTACATGAGGTGTTTTAGAATATGTCACTTAATCCTTACAACTCGGCCTAGCAGGTAGCATCTCCTGTTTTTTTAAACAGGTGAGGAAATGCAAAGTGAGAATAGGCAGCTTGACCAAAAATCACACTGCTTTAAGACATCTTTCAACTCTAAAGCTGAGCATTTGTGCTCCCTGATGCCCGCCCTTCCATTCTCCCTCCAGTGGGGTTGGTGCTGCAGTGCAGAGATGGCTCTCCTAAACTGACCAGCTCCAGGGGGGCCTCTTGCTAAGCCGTTGCCCCCCACAGTGTCTTCCTCCGCAGTTTCAGCTGGTGCCTTCCCTGAGCACTGATGGGAAAGGACTTCAACAATCTGGGGAGCTCCATATTAAGTTCTGCCCAAGCCCTCTCTTTCCACCTTTCTGGGTCTTTGTGCTTCTCAGGTACAACCCTAGTGCAGAAAGCATGCTGTGAGGTCCACTTAGCCAAAAGTAGTTGTGAGTCAGATGTCCATGAATCTCTATATCCTGGTCATTGCCACAGAGCGGGACCCCGGAAAAGGACAAGAAAGACAAACAGACATTGTTAGAGGGAGAAATGATGCAGAAGGATCATGGAGGAGCTCTGGAGACATAGAGATGGGGTGGGGGTGGCTAGCCCTGAATTCATCTCCAGCACCAAAACCCAAACCTAACCAACCAAATAGAACCCGTGGAGATAATCAGACACACTGACTCGGGCAGTGGGAAAAGAGAGCCAGCGTGCTGCAGTCCCCAGCCTGACAGTGCAGGAGATCTGGGCAGGGTGGGGATAGATGCTGGAGCGAGACCATCAGAATAAATCCCCTCAGCTTATCACCACCCTGAAAATGCAGATGCAGTCATCAAACATTTAAGTGATCCCTTCTGGCTGAGGAAATAGCTTTATGTATTTATTTTTCTGCTTTTATTTTTAAATTTCAAAGTTCAATTTTGAGTGTCTCCTCCTGGAACCAGAAGGGCTACAAACCAGCATATTGGAGGAGTTACTGAGTGATTCCAGCTGCTCTAGCCCCATAAGCAGAAATTTACAGCTTTGAACTTGCATTTCTTACACACACACACACACACACACACACACACACACACCCTTTAAACCAAAAGGAACCTAGAAATCGCATGGTCTCACAATGCCAACATTATACCGATGAGGATAATGAGGCGTTGTTTTATGCCTTTTTCCTCCCTTAACAAAAATTCATTTGAGGCTTAGCAAGAATAATAATGAAAGCAAGAATCACAACTCTTACAAACAATCACCTTCAGAGAACAAAAGAGCCACTCTAAGGACCAAACTGTCAATCATCTTTTTCCCCACCCATCGCATCCACAATGCAATGCTGTATTAAACTTCTACCATTGTGAAGAACTGAGAAAATCTGAAGGAAGCCCCTCAGCTTGACCTCCAATTTGAGTTTTTATTTATAAAATGAATCCAAAGAAATAAAATAGTAAGAGACCCCTTACTACCTTTACTTGATCTGTTTTCTTATACTCTTTTATGAAGCCAGTTCTTCTGCTGATCTTATTTTTTCTCATTAGTTATCAGAACTTCTCTCAGGAGAATTACAGCTATATGGCACGGTGGCACATATCTGTAATCTCAGAACATGGGGAGGCAGAACCTGGAGGATTGCAAGTTAGATCCTAGCCTGGGCAATTCAGTGACTTAGTGAGACACCATCTTAAAATTTAAAAGAGGAAGGGGTGCCACAGATGTAGCTCAGTGTTGAAAGTC